TCCATGATTCATTGTTTGTGCATAACACCCAGTGCTCCACGCAGAATGTGCCCTCTTTAATACCCATCACCAGGCTAACCCATCCCCTCACCCCCCTTTTTATAAATTTTTTTTAAGATTTTATTTATTGGAGAGAGAGAGAGGACTGAGAGAGCACAAGTAGGGGGAGGGGCAGGCAGAGGGAGAAGCAGACTCCCCGCTGAGCAGGGAGCCGTCGACACAGGGCTCGATCCCAGGACCCCGAGATCATGACCTGAGCCAAAGTCAGACGCTTAACCAACTGAGCCAACCAGGCACCCCAGGTCAATAATTTTTAAAAATTTACCACAAATACATATTGATAGCTTAAATCCATTTTTCATTCTTCCACACATTGTAAAACAACTATGGCTTTATGGTCACATGACATTTCCACTATAGAAAACAGTATTTATATAGTTGCCACAGTAACATGTCTCATTGGTATGACAATTCTAAGATGCTGTAAGATACATTTTTATTTCCTACAAATCTTGTTTCACTGCAGCTCCCTCCTCATTGAACTAATGACACTTATTTCTCCAGAGAAGTGTGAGTAACACCTAAAACAAAAGGGTCATTACTCAGCTCTAGTACATGTGCTACTGAAGCAAGCGCAGCTCTGAGTTTTAAAGTTGACTCTTAAAAAAATTAATAGTCTCCAGAGCAGTCTTTGTTGAGAAAAGGGATTCCAAACTCTTTTTAAATAACAAACTCAAGGGGCGCCTGGGTGGCTCAGTTGGTTAAGCGACTGCCTTCAGCTCAGGTCATGATTTCAGGGTCCTGGGATCGAGCCTCGCATCGGGCTCCCTGCTCGGCGGGAAGCCTGCTTCTCCCTCTCACCCTCCCCCTGCTTGTGTTCCCTCTCTCGCTGTCTCTCTCTCTCTGTCAATTAAATAAATAAATAAAATTTAAAAAAAAAATAAACTCAAGTTTGGATGTCTGAATGTAAAATTCTGACTACGGTATAGGTAGCAAGAGCAGCATCAGGTATCTCTAGGGGCTTGCAAAAGTGTAGATGCTCAGGGCCCCACCCACTGAATCAGAACCTGTACATTAACAGTATTCCCTAGGTGAGTCATATGCACATTAAAGTGTGAGAATCACTGAATTAAAGTACAAGTGGAAGACTGGGGAGAGACACTTCTTCCATTATAAGACCAAAATAAAGTGAGTTTATATGTAGGTAGAAAATGATCAAGAATCAGTCTGAAGGTTTCTGTTGTCTTTCAAAGTTTTCATCCCCTTAGCAGCAATAGGGAGAATGGAATAAGTTCCATTCATTCATTCATTCAACAAGTTAATGAGTGCCTATAACGTGGGAGGCAGTTTTGGTTTGTTTCAGTCATCTACATCAGGGTGGTTTTGGGGCATGACTGTCCACTCCTTTCCTTAATTTCAGAAATCTTGCCTTTTGCAAAATTTGTCCAAATCAAATTAAATTGACTTTAAAATGCAATAATTTCAGTGACACTATGCTATGGACAGCCTATAGATAAAGTGCATTTTCTTTTAAAATGACAAACCATGTTGGTACTAAAATGTAAATATATAGTTAGAAGACAACAATGAATCTGAAACAGGAATATTCTTTCTAAAGACTGCTTAAAAGCATTAAGTATACATTCAATATACATTAAGCACATACTGTGTGCTAGGTCCTCTGCTAGGCATTTCAGATAAAAACATGCATGAAATAATCCCTGTAATATGGTCTGGTATACAGGACTGATCTTAAGGGAGAGACTTGTACACAGTCACACAGACCCAGTGCTGAGGAGGACCTTGCATGCTCTACTGTCACAGTCTGGAAATTCTCAAAAATTTTATCTTGCAAGTGAAATGTTAAGTACATGAACTTTTAAGTGAAATCTGATGGGAGAATGGACCATGTGTATGAGCAGAGGAGAAACACACCAAAAAAGAGGGAAAGAAAAGCTATATATTTTAGTACCTTTATTGGCCCTTTCCTGCTTTTGAACAAGGAGCCCCGCATTTTTATTCTGCACTCGGCTGGCCCAATTATGTGGCTGGTCCTGATGATGGTAAAAGAGATCTATGTGTTAGATACTGTGGTAGATGGAGAATGGAGTGAGTAGCTATGAAAGGGTCAGTGATGACTTCACAGGGAAAATGAAACCTCAGAAGCTCTGAGGGACAAAGTGGGGGGACACCTTGCCAGGTGACAAGTGTACTCCAAGAAAAGGAAAGCTAAGGAAGAAGCAGCAGCATTCTTACATAAATGTATAGATTTACAGGTGTACACTTATTTCCTCTAAGTTTAAAAAAAAAAAGCTTCATTGAGGTTTTGCATATCCGCGATATACTGGGTTATAAAAATTTTTCTTTATCTGTGTACTAGGCACAAAATTCCATTTTCTGGGGAAGCTCAGCACCTGGCAGTGCAGATGAGCAGATGAGTTCAAGGATGAGCAAACATGCCTTCCGTTTATATTTTTACCTGGGTTCGTGCCTCTCGCCCAAGCCAGAAAAGTGGTTTGGGAGCTTTCCGACCGGTCGGGGATGAAGGTTTCAATCTCGTTGTCCTGGGGAAACAGCGGTGGCATGGGGGTTTCCTCCTCGAAGTAGCTCCAGTTGACATTGCCACAGAGTTTTATTATTTCCTTCAGGAGGTGCCTGCCGCACAGTCTCCTAGCTCTGCTGAATTCGCTCAGCTCACGGGAGAGCCAAACTAACAGGAGCCCCAGCCACAGCAGACACACGCAGAGGAGCCGCGGCATCCCTGGGCCCCCGCCGCCAGGACCGCCGCGTGGTCTAATCGCCGCGGGTCCCACTCCTCCCGGCACCTGCGCTCGTGCCCGCGCTCGTGCCCGCGCCCGCCCGGTCAGAGCCGCGCACGCGCGCCTGGCGGTCCTGCGAGCGCGTGCGGACCTCGCGAGAACGACGGGGTGCGAGGCGCGAGGCGGAAGGTGCGAGGTGCGAGATGGCCGCGAGCTGGCTTTTCTTGCGCTCCCCCGGGTCCTCAGAGCATGGTAGGTAGCCGGCTCTAGTTATTAAAATCTTTGATTCGTTTTCTTTGCCCTCCCCTCTAAAGAGGAGCGTCCGTTGACACGTGGGGCCCCCGTTAACCGGTAAAATCAGAAAAGGTGTTGCGCCTCCCAGCGGAGTACATTTCCCGCCCGGTTGCCTGGTTGGTAACGGGGCGTCGCTTCCTCAGACACACCTCCTCTCGTTTCCCCCCAGATGTACATCGCGGGAGGTTTGTTCACGTTTACTCGTGCGCTTGTTTGATAACCTCTTCCCTCAAGGCCCCAAGCGCCCTGCAGGCACGGCTGGGCCCGTGTTTGCTTCCCAGGGTAGCTCGGGGCCCCGCGCGCCGCCGGCATCGGAGGTGCTGGAGCCTGGACGCGCCGGAAGGCGCTGGAAGGCGCTGAAACGTGCACTTCTCAGTCCGAGTCAGAATGCGCTGGAGATCCCCGCCCGCTGCTCGGGGAGAAATGGCCCTGAGCCTGGACCTCTAGACCGGGGGAAGCAGCTGGGATGCTGACCTGCTACCGTCGGCGATAGAGCAGACAGGACTGTCTGTAACTAGCTTGTGACAGGGACCCCGCGGGGTTTGCCTCTAAGAATCTCAATATTTTGCTAAACCAGGAGGGAAGGGACGGGGAAGCGCAGCGCCGTGGGGACGGGTGGCTTGATCATTTGGGAGGAGATCTGATTGGTGCGTTGGCTCGGGAGGACGCGCTAGCGGTCACCAGGGGGCAGTCGGGGGCCGCTGGGGAGGAGGCGCGATCGCCGCGGCGGCGGGGGTGCCCGAGCCCCGCGCGCGTCCGGGTGGGGTCCGTGTGGGGTCCGAGCGGTCTCCTGCTCCTCTCTGCCGTGCGCCTCCGGGTCTTCGTCTCCGTGGTCGGTTTCTCCAGCGTTGCCCTGCTGCCCGGTGGCACCCCGGAGCGCCGTTCAGTGAGCTGGACTCGGAGTTTTTCAAAGGTCAACGTGATTTGATTAGCACAAGGTCATCACCTTCCTTAAAACACAGCTACTGTCCAAACTGTGGTGTGCCGTGAGTTCTAGCCAGAGCTCCATCAGGGGAGCCCTGTGAGAACGGACAACATTCCTTATGAGGAGAGGAAGACTGGAAACAAAGTTCTGCTGACCTCTAGTGAGGGAGGCAAGCACCTGAATTGAGGGGACCATTCAGGCTGGGGTGGTAGGTGTCATGGTGGGGAGCCTTTGAAAACTATGGGGACGGGATGGTTTGGTGCTAAGACCCTGGATTTCAAACACAGCATAATGGGGAAGCTCCGTTAGAATAGTGTCTGATGCTAGATTCCCAACCCAGTGACAGAATTGGATTTATATCGATTTGTTGAAACTAAAGAAGAGGGGCTCCCGGCTGGGTGACTCTTGAACTCAGGGTCGTGAGTTCAAGCTCCATGTTGGGTGTGGAGCGTACTTCAAAACAAAACAAAGCAAAAACTGAAGAAGTTGGGTATTTCTTGCACAGCAAAAACTGCTTGCAAATTCATACCTGTTACACATAGACACATATTCTTTTAGGAATAAGGAAGGTATGGCTTATATCTCACACAAGCAAGTAGAGGGGTTATGTTTGGGGGGCACTTTGACATCTATAACGGAGGAAAATGTAAGCTAGGAGAAGTGTGTATGGAAGATGAGAGTGAGTCATTGGATGGTGGTGAAAAACCTCAGTGTCATCAATTCAGTGTGACATGAGAACTAGTGGGGTGGGGGGGAGGTGACCTTGAAGCAAATGGAGTTCTGGAACTGACAATGAGCAGTGTGCTGGGGTACAAATAAGATGAATGGAAGTGGTAAAATTGGGAAGAAATGTTCCATGATGACAGTGAAAAATGTTGACTTTCTCCCTGAAGAGTTATGATCTGTCTCTGCTTCCTCAGTGAGAAAAAGCTCTTTAAGGTGGCCTCAGGGAGGACATGATGACCCTCAGAGGCTTGGTTGTGATTAGCCATGCCTCGGGATTTGGGATATAGGAATTGTGTCTTCATCTCGTGTAATTCTGACTAAATACTAAGATGATACCATGCTGGTTTATCATTTTGACACAAATGTTCATATCATTTCACAGGTTATTTTGTGTACATAAATGTTCTGTAAATTCTAAAATGGTGAGCCTGAATGTGTTCCTTTACCAATCTAGCTCTTTTCTAAGATAAAACATTAAGTTTCTTATTCAGTTATCTGCATGACTATACATTTATGTCACTTAAAAATACTTACTGAATCTCTTAGAAGCATGGAAGTACTCTAACTTGAAAAATAATTGAGTTTATTTGAGCCCCCAAATCCAAATGTATTTGGTAGTGAACCTGACTCTTTTCAAACATGATTTCAAAAAGACAAGCTGTTTGGGCTCAAGTAGAAAACTGCAAGGTTTGTGGTTTAATGTTAACATGGTCTACATTGGCAAGATCAATTAAAACTTTTTATTCTTTTGTATGTACCTCGTGTTAGGTGTGTATAAAATGAGTTATGTTGTTAAATAATTAAGCTTTTTATAATCACTATGAAGTTAATGAGGTTAAAATGCAATTGGTGCAATGATAGCATTAATTTAAAAAAAAAGAGATTCTTTAATATCTTAAAAGGGTTGATTTTTGAGAGAAAGCATATTGTAGAGAGACTAAGTACTGTTACAGAACAAACGAAGAATGTAAACACTAATAATGATTTCTCACGTTCTAGAAACCAGTCATGGTTGATTTGGACATTGATAAATGCATCATGGAGAATGTACATGAAAATAGGTGAAAAAATTAACAATTACTCTATAGTGTGCCTATTTTCAGAAAAATTATTTTGTTACAACCTCTTTTTTTTTAAAACAACATAATTATATTGATAACTTCCTTCTCCTTTCGTTGGGAAAGTAGTACCTCCCTCAAAGATGACTGCTTGTCAGTGTTGTCTTCAGCTCTGGTGGCAAATGAGGAATGTTTTGTGACATCATTTTTAAGGTTCCTGCATGTTGGCTGATGGAAGGTGACAAGATTTTCTGTTAATTTTAAAAAGACAGGTGGGAGGTATGAAAAAACATTCATGTCAAGGAGAATTAGGAAAATTATAAAATTTTGTATAGGCCAAAAGTTAACTGTTGCCTCAAAATAATTAAACTTGCAACAGAATCAACTAGTGTCCTAATATCTAAACAGCTTACTTACCGTTGGGCAGTGTGACTTAGTACAGTATTATCAAGGTTCTCTTGCCTCTGACTAATCCAAGGACTGTGCTAAAGCTTGCACGGTGATACTGTAGACTCCCCTGACACTGTTTTGGTAGAGTGCTCCTTCCATCTGCATGTGCAGGGTGGGGCTGAGCACCAGCAGCCAGTGAGGTCTTCAGCCAGGCCCTGCAGGCTGCCGTTGACACTGGTGGGCAGCAACCAGCAGGAGGTGCAGACCAGCAGCACAGGCACTCTCCCTCACAGCAGCTCTTCCTGGATGTTGGAGAACCTCTTAGGGTGTTTCTCACACATAATCATCATGATATCTAGGAATTCGATGGCACATAACTTCACCTTTTCATGGCTTACCCATTGGGCTGTGCTTTCTCTAAAGAGTTGGCTCAGCAGCAGCCAGACTTCTAGCAGGTAAGATCAAAACAGGCCCAGCATCCTGGACTTGGTTTCTCCAGCCTTTCTCTAGGGACTGCAGCTGCTGTCACCTACTGCCTTCCTCTGTGTCTCTATCCTGGGTTTTAGAATACTGTCCCTTCCTGGCTCCAGGGAGCTTTTATAGCACTTGGCTTAACACTCAGGTCTTGAGTCAAAGGTCCCAGCTCCACCCCTTTCCCCAACAGCTTGCAAAAAATTTGCTTTCTCAACACTTTCACCCTCTGCATCCCCCTCACCACATCCCCTTTCTCTTTGTGTCCTCAGTATTCTACTCCTTGCTTGTTTTAAAATTTGAATTTACCTCTTCTTCTTCCCTCCTCTACAACTATTTTTATGCTTACTTAAATGTTTGTAGTTTTTAATGTCATTTTCGTATCTAAATGTATGTTATGGTTATTATTGAAAATATAGTTACACAAAGTTGGGGGCACTTGGGTGTCTCAGTTAAGCGTCTACCTTTGCCTTAGGTCATGATCTCAAGATCCTGGGAGCAAGCCCTGCATTGGGTTATCTGCTCAGCGAGGAGCCTGCTTCTCCTTCTCCCTCTGCCCCTCCCCCTGCTTGTGCACTCTCTCTTTCTGTCAAATAAATAAAATCTTAAAAAAAAAATAAAAAAATAAAATCGACCTGTAAACTCATTAGCTAGAGATTGTCTTGGTTTAACACTTACTGTATAACCTATTATTTTTCCAAATTACCCCATTTATTTCTATTTTATCTTAAAGCAGTAAAAGCACAATTAGATTGATTTCTGTAGTACCTTGTACATCCATCTATGGTATTGTGATGGATGCACAGAAAATTGTTCACAAAAGAAAGAAAACTGATGATATTTAAACCAAGTTCTCTGAAAAGTATTAAAATTCCCAAAATATCACTTTAGATTTGTAAAATAATGTATGAAGTTTACATGGACTTTTCCATTCCTTATTGCAGAGGACTGGAATTCTAAGCTTAGTAGGAACTTCTACTCTCTTGAGATCCTGATAAGGATTAGGAAAACACATGGACCTCTGGTGTTGTCTCTTAAGTCTTAGCATTGGATTGAAGATCTTATATCGGTAGGTAATCAGATGGTATCACTCTCTACAAATTTCTTGTTTTCTTTTGATTTCCCTGGGTGATTGGTGAGTTGTTACCAGCTATCTGAGTATTCTTTTATTTGAAATTGTGATTATTATCTCTAGATACTGGAGAACACATACACACACAC